GGATAGAGTACCAGCCCTGAAGTCAGGAACACCTGAGTTCAAATCCGGCCTCAGACCAAACACTTGACACTTACTAGCTGTGTGACCCTGGGCAAGTCACTTAACCCCAATTGCCTAAAAATAAAAAAATAAAATAAATGAACAAGTGGCATAGATTAGTAGACAGAGCAACAAAAGGCAGCATTTTGGGGTCTCTTGATCCTAATCTGGGATCAGATACTGAGTCATTGTGTGACCTTGGATAAGTTAATATCTAGCCTGGGAGGCAGAGGAATCGAAATTATATCACGGTAGGCATTAACTGAAAAACTGGAGTTTTTTTAGACTGGAGAAGAGGGGGTGGGGAAATTTGAAAGAAGAGAGTATTATTCTGTCTTCAAATGTTTGAAGGTCTTTCATACAGATGACATGTCCAATTTAATCAGTTTGGCCCGAAGTGTCAGAACTGGACCAATTGGTAGAAATTACAGGGAGTTTTATTTTGTTTCAAGATAGGAGAAATGTCCTAACAAGGAGAGCTGTCCACAAATGGAATAGGCTGACCTAAGAAAATAGTGAGTTCCAGGTCACTGGAGGTATTCAAATGGAGGTGGGATAAACTACTCAACAAGATTCTCCTTCAGGTACAGGTTGGCCTAGAAGGACTTTTAAAGTCACTCTGAACTTTGGATTTCCATGAATTCACAACAACCCTTTGGCCTCAGTGTTCCGTCATTAATAGAGACAACCAGTAAGAGCTCATCCTCATGTTACTGGAGAAAAAAAACAAAACACAGTGATTTTGGAGTCAAAGGGCCAGGCTTCAAATGCTTGCTTTGCTACTTGGGACTTTGACTTTGTGTAGATTACTTAAATTCACTTGGTCTTACTTTCTTCATCTATAAAGAGGGAATTGGCCCAAATGGCCACTAAGGTCTCTTCTAGCCCTTAATTTATGGTCTCATGTTTTACTGGTAATCCAGCTTCAGGAGCTGACTGACCTATTTGGCCTCTTCACTTGGCTTAAGACTCATAATTTAATGCCTTGTAGAAGATGATGAGAATGCCTGTAACCAAGACAAACTAGTTTATTGGCTGAGATTTATTGAGATTTTTTTTTGAATCACAGAATGTTCTAACTTTATATTAAGGGAGAAAGCAAGAAATAGAGTAGATAAATAAAGGCAACCCATGTTTAAGATAGAAGCCATAAATTAGACCGAAATCTCAAAAACACAAGGGACAGATTTAAGAGGTAGAAGGTAACTGTTTTCCATCCGACAGAGAACAGGGCCTAAATAAAAGCAAGCCAGCTGTTTTAGAATATCTCTCCCCTTTCCCCTAAAAAACCCTGAAATCTACATCCATTTCAGTAACAGCCAAAATCAACTTACATAGTTCATTTTCCCCACAAAGATAATGTCTGATCATAGGCATCTATTTTCTAACACACGTCACTCTCCTCCTTAAAAATCTCTGGGAACTTCCTGTTGTCTATTGAGTAAAATGCAAAATCTTTGCTTACTGCAATAAGGCCTGACCTATCACTCCATCCTTTTTTTTTTCATGTTATTCTCCTTCTTGGATTCTACAATTTAATAAATGGTCTTTAAGTGGGTGCTATAGCTAAAAAATTCATCACCCTGAGTCCAGGTAGGTAGCCCAATCTCAAGCAACAGACATAAGGTCCGTCATTGGACCTGTACTCCAGGTCTTTCTAGCACAGTAGTTAGTACCTGCCAGACTTTGTGCCCTGGTGTAGAGAATACAGGTATAATTTCCACACCAGGGTGATGAACCAGAGTGGAATTTCAGTGGAGAAAAAGGGGGAATATGAGTCCACAAATAAGTCTGATACTGTGTAGGATACGATAAGAGTTGAACAAAAGAGAGGCCTAAAGATGTGCTAATAAAAATTTGAGAAGGCACAGTTCTCTTCTATCTGGGGAGATCAAGGAAGGACATATGGAAAAGGTAGCACTAACAGAGCCTTGAAGAAAGTATAAGGTTCTGAGAGGCAGAGATCTGGAAGGTTTTCAGGTATGGGTGACAATCCATACTTGTGTTTGAAGACAGGAGACGTAGGGACACAGTACAAGAATAGGGACTGAATGTCTTCAACAAGGAACAGACAGGACAGATTATCCAAAATGATTCATAGGCCAGGGAGAGAGAAGACAGTAGGAAGGCTGGAATACTCCATTCCTTCCTCCTGAAATCCTTTAATGCTTAGTTCAAAAGTCATTTCCTCCTCTCAATCCTCATAGTACTTTGTATCCTTTGAGGGGATGTAGGAAGCATCTCAAAACTCTTATAAGCACACCCAGTGGCCTCAAACCCCCCTTATCATTTATGTTTTCTCCATTTTTGTACAATCATATATCCCCTGATAAACTGCAAAGGCAAAGTCAACAAAATCAAAACTTACCAAAAAGGACAGGGGGGGTAGGAGGAGGAAGGGATGGCACACACACACACACACACACACACACACACACACATAATATGACATAAGTAAGAAGCAACTAGCCTCTATAATAAGCTGCTAGCCAAGCTGGTCAAACATTAATGCACTGAAGTTCCACTTCACATCCATTACACCGGCAAAGTTGACAAAAAAAGAAAATAACAAATGCTGAAGGTGCTGTAGGAAAATAGGCACTATTGTTGGAGCTATGAACTGGTCCTGCCATTCTGGAAAACAATATGGAACTATACCCCAGAAGTTATTAAACTGTGCATACCCTTTGACCCAGCAATAGCACGACTAGGTCTATATACCAAAGGAATTGAAGAAGGAGGAAAAAGACCCACAAGAAAAGAAGGAAAAGGGAATAAGGCATTTAGAGAGTGTCTATGGTGTGCTATGCACTGTGCTAAGCGCAACCCTGGGAGGGAGGTGCTATTATTAACCCCATTTTACAGTTGAGGCAGTTGTGACTTGTTATGTTAACACAGATAGTTAGTATCTAAGGCTGGATTGAACTCAGTTCTTCTGACTCCAAGTTTAACACTCTATCTACTGTGCCAGCCAGCTGCCTTTATAAAATATATAAAAAGTGCTCTTTTTTGGAGGTGGGAAAAAAATGGGAAACTGCTGGAGTACCCATCAATTGGGGATTAGCTAAACAAGTTATGCCATATGAATAGGATGGAATACCATTGGTACTGTAAGAAATAACAAAAAGAGTGGTTTCAGAGAAACCTGGGAAGATATGTATGAACTGATGCAGATTGAAGTGAGCAGAAACAAGAAAACAATTTATACAATAACAACAATATTATAAATACAAACAACTTTGAAACTCTAATCAACACAATGACCACCCAAGATTCCACTGGACTCATGATGAAACATGCTACCTATCTCCTTACAGAGAAGTGATAGATTAGAGTGCAGATTGTTATGTTTGTCCTTTGTTCTCAGAGAGGACCATGACATCAGGGAGATGACATGACTTGTAAGTGACTTTGACTTGAATGAGGGAAGGCTGTGCAAGGTCACTAACCTCACTTTCTCCTCCAGAGCCATCTGGTACAGATTGAGACATGTATATATGCGCGCACACACACACACACACACACACACACACATACACACACACACATATATATATATATACAGAGAGAGAGAGGGAGAGGGGGCTAATTCAGGTATTTGTTGTGCTTGATTATATATATATGTATATATATATGTTAAAAGGGCTTTATTTTTCTTTCTTTTTCAGTAGAGGAGGAAGGTGGGAGGGAGAGAAAGTGAATTATGGTTTAATTGGAAAATAAAATTTAAGTTTTAAAAACCTTGGGAAAAAAGAAAAATTAATAGTATCAAAGTCTTGTGAACTCAGTGCCAAATCACTTAAGGAATTGCTGCAAAAGGACAAATTACAAATTGAAAGTTTTTGTGTTGTTGTTTAAAGAAAGGCAATAAATTGGTCATCCTAGTTTCTTATTCTTTGCATCCCCCACAGAATCTAGCACAAGGACTTGTATATAATAGGTATTTAATAAATGTTTGTTGAATTAAATTTTGATACAAAGGCACTTTGACATCTGTCTACCTCAGAGAACTGCTAAAGAAAACTGTGAAGAGCTATGTAAATATTGATATTATTGTTTTGTTAATTATTATCTAGTCCCTTCTTTCACTTATGAGGAACCTGAACCCCAGAACGGGGAAGAAACTTAATCAGGATCACCATTTAGAGAAGGGTCTGGCAACCAAGTGGTAATGAATGACACACTTTTATAATTATACTTTGTATCCCCGAAGGCCCTGGCAGTGTGCACTGAATACTTGCTTACTTGACAGGCAGACTTCACAATCTCCTCGGTAGATAAAATTCACAGTCGCGAAACTATGAAAGACAATGTAATACAATTCATCTTGCCAAACATTTATAGACTACCTACTCTGTGCGAGGGTCTGCAGTTCAGGAAGTAGTCAAAAAAGTGTGAGGCAGGCAGTGTTGTGGCCTGGCAGAACTGGAAAAGGAGAGACAAGGGGCTGGAGGGCAACCTGAAGACTTGGGGGAGAAGAGGGGACTTAAGATAAGGAGAGGCCTATTGAAAAGGGCAGCTCTAGAAAAAAGGCGGGAAACAGCCTCTTCTTTCCCCTCCAGTTTCTCCCTCTCCAGGGTCAGGTTCACCCAATTACCTTCAACCCAGTCCCAGGATTCTGGACCCGCCCCCCAGAGACCTGGGCTCTCTTTCCGCCTCGGCCCCACCTCCAGCGGCTAGTGGCCACCACGCCCCTCCTCGCACCCTCCGGCCCTGGGATGGGTTGCTCTCTGGCCCGGCGCTAGTCCTAGCTCGGTGTCCCTTTCTCCAGTGTGTCCTGCCCGTAGCCCACCCCAACCTGCTCCATCCTGCATTCACTCTCTGACCCTCGGGCCTTCCTCTAACCTTGGATTGGTGGCCTGGCCTCAGTGGATCTGAGCACACCCCGGCACCCACCCCGCAGCATCCCTGGGCCCTGCCCCTGGCCCCAAAACCACGCCCCTGCCCCGCCTCTCCTAGGTTTCCCCGCGAGTCTCAGGCCCTCCCCACACTTGGAAGATGGCGGCTTCCTTGGGAAGGTTACTTCGGGCTTCGGTGAGTGGCCGGGGGCGAGGGATGGAGGCGGCGTGGGTCCGGGAGACGGTCTCTCCTGCTATACAGGTTCACGCTTCCTTCCTCCGGCCGAGGAAACGTCCAGCCCTGGGGCCTGGCTGCAGAACAGGCTGAGCGGGTCGCTGCCCGCCCCATGCCACTAGATAGAGACCTCCTGCGCTGTCCACCTGCCTGCATGCCAGCAACAGAGGGCGGCCCTCTGCTAAGGCAGCGCCAGTCCCCTCCTTCCAATTCCGTCCCCTTTCCCCTCTCTCCTTCCTCCCCCACATGCCATTCCGCTAGCTCCCAGAGCAATGACTAGCTCTCAAAATAGTGCCCATCCCCCCATGCCACTTCATTCCTCCCCATGCCACAGGGCAATGCCTATTCATCCTTTTTGTGTCTCAGTCGGCACCCGAGCCCAATCTTGCTTTACCTCCGTTCTCCTAATCCAATTTACGACCTCTTACTTAACTTTCCCCTCCCCCTTCATTTTCTCTCTCATGGACACAATCTACAGCTGCTGCTATCTCTTTTCTCTCCCTTTTTGCTGCTAACGATCCTTTTGCAAGGGACTGCCCAGATAGGTCAGCGTGACAAATGCCTGACCTTTTCTCGCCTGTTGGTAGGGTTTAATTCAACAGGCAGTATATGGCTGGCACTGTGCTAGATGCCTAGGATACAAAATGACAATTTCTGCCCTCAAGGGAATTTTGGAAAGGTCTTTTCCTAATTAAAACTATTGTTTGTATTAGAAATAGGCCTGTGTTCAGAATATAAAGCCTAGAAGGCTGCCTAAATAAATAAAATGCTCTAGACTGGAGTGCTGGATTAGCAGGCGCTGTCTATTGGTAATGCTGTACCCCTTTTGTTAGGGGCACCTAGGTGGCACGGTGGCTAGAGCTCTGGGTTTGGAGTCAGGGAGACTCCTTCCTGAGTTCGAATCCAGCCTTGGACGAGTATTAACAGGGTAACACTGTGAGTCACTTAACTTTGTTTGCCTCAGTTTCCTCATCTGTAAAATGAGCTGGAGAAGGAAATGGCATACCACTCTAGTATCTTTGCTTAAGAAAACCCCAAATGGGGTCAGGAAGAGTGGAACATTACTGAACAACAAAAAACCCCTCTTGTAATAAATCCCTTTTCTCTGCCTCACCTTGTATGGCAGAAAGATGTTAAAAGTTTGGAGATTTGAAAAAAGATAAGCTCTTTTTTACTAATTAGAATTGCTCAGTGGTGCCAGGGGCATTTAGAGATGTTAGGTCCCCTATAATCACTTTTCTCTAGGTTATTACTGGTTTCCTGATTCTAGCCCTACAACAGAATTGTATGTGTGTGTGTGTGTGTGTGTGTTTTCTTAATTAGCAATAAGAAAAATAATGTTTCACTTAACAGGTTGCTCGGCATGTGAACTCGTTTCCCTCGGGCATTTCTGCAGCCTTTAGGCCTGTTGCTACTAGAAACACATTCCCAGCCAACATAATGCCCATGAGTGCTACCCATTCAAAATTTTCTTTCAGCACCAGTAAGTCCTTCTCTCCATTATGCTCCATTGTTGGGACAAAAGTAGAAAATGACACATTTCTAAATGTCAGTTTTCTTGGGTGGATGTTACAGGTTCTTTTGTAGAAGGCAGCTGAGCCCTCTTAATATTTTTTGGTTCAGCATTTTGTTATTTATATTGTAAATGTTTGCAAACATCCATCATATTCAACATAAAATAGAAATTCATTTTGAGACTCATTGTATGCCATAGGCTATGAGCTTTGCTACAATCGAATTTCAAAAATATAAAGAATTTTTTAATGGCTTTGAAAATGTGTATGTATAAGTATAATATAACTGAATCTACTTATCTTGTGCAGGAGCAGGTTAGTAAGTTCAGTCTTTATGTAAAAAGTTCCTAAAGTCAGACTTTAAATACCTTGGAAAAATCTTTTGGAAGCTTTGTCTAGTATCATATATGTGTGTACCTATTTATGGAAGGAAGAGTTGTAGCTGTATTAATTATTAATGAATGGTTCCCTTAAGCACTGAGAGGTTAAGTGACTTTTGGATTCACAGCCAGTATGTATCAAAGGTGGGACCTGAACTCAGATCTCTAATAGTAATTTATATATATAAATATTTTTAAGGTTCTTCAACTTATGTGCCTGCTGTAACCCAACATGCACCATATTTTAAGGGTACAGCTGTTGTCAATGGAGAATTCAAAGAAATAAGCCTTGATGACTTTAAAGGCAAATATTTGGTGCTTTTCTTCTATCCTCTTGATTTGTAAGTATAATTTCCATAATGCTTTTATGTTATGCTTTGGTCAGCAGAGAGTCTCCTCTATCCTATTAGAACCTTCTCATATTTTCCAGAGTGAGGAATTCCTTATGAGTTTTATCTGGAATGTCCTTGGGTACAGCTTGAGTCTGTTACTAGTTAAGAAGTAATAACACTTAGGAATGAGAATCATTCCATATAATGATTATAGTTTTAAAGGAGTTGAACTTGTATATGCCAAAGTATCATTGTAAAAGTTCCTATTTCTAATTAGTTCTAAAACTTAAGTACTTTTATTATTTATGCAAAATTTATCCATTACTTCAAATGATCCATCATTTCATCGATGTGAGCCCTTATTCTACCAAAACATACTTCACAACTCCACGACCCCTTCATAAATGATCTTTATGAACTGCCATAACCGTGTAAATCATAAACTAGTGGAAACCCTTCTAGCTTTTCCAAATTTTAGGGGACAGTACGATGTGGAAAAAAGGAGTACTAGATTTGTGTCAGAGGATCTGTGTTCAAATTCTGATTTCATTAAGGTCCATGTAAGATTGTCCTAATCACCTTTTTTTCCCCTTCTAGCACTTTTGTGTGTCCAACAGAAATTGTTGCTTTTAGTGACAAAGCTAACGAATTTCGTGATGTGAACTGTGAAGTAGTTGCGGTTTCAGTGGATTCCCACTTTAGCCATCTTGCCTGGATAAATACACCAAGAAAGGTATGACTGAACCATAGATTTAACCACTGCTCAAACAGTCCTCCAAAGACTTGGATGGATAGAAAGTAAAAGGGCCCGTGAGACCACCATAAGCATTGCCGCTCTAATTTTTTGTTAGAGTGTGTTGACAGTCTTAAAAATGTTACTTGTCAAATTCATAGAAATCTCCCAAATTGTATAAATTACTCTGAATATTTAGAAACCTCTTTTGTTAAATCCAAAGACCTTCAATTAGCACAGGAAAAAATACAAAAAGTACAGGAGAGCAAGATAAAGGTAAATTAAGGAGGAAAAGTTTCCTGTTTCCTTTCTCTCTTCTCATAGGCACAAATACTCAACGTAATTTCAGTATTGTAAGGTGTTGGAGACTTTTCTGTAAATTAAAAAAATAATAGAACCTTCCTCAGAATCTACTTAGAACAACAAATTCTAGCTAAGCTACCAGATTTAAATTATTGCTTTTTCTTACAATTACTAATAACAAGCTGCTACTTCAGTATTCCTCCTATTTTATGTTCTGCTGCACAAGTCTTCAATTAGAGGATAATTTAAAGATTTAGGGAAATGCTATATAATCATTTCATCTATGCAATAATATTTTAATAATTTTTAAAGTTTTAAATTGTTTCCTACTGACTGTTAAATAAGGGCACTATGTAAGGGCATTATGACCTTGGTTATTTGGGATTTCTTTTCTTATAAATTCAAATAGATGAGTTCATCATTATCTTTTTGAGGTCATGTGTTTTCCAAGGTCAGATAATTTTATGTAAGCCTTCTAAATCACAGTATTACCCAATAATATTTTGACAAGGAAGGTTATACATAGAGGCAAACTGGAAAGAATTTCTTTTTATAAACATTAATTAACAATTGGTATCTGAAAAGGGAGGAGGGCTTACTATGTTTTTGGAATTCCCCTTAAAATAGTAAATGTATTTATTAATCTATAATTTTTATATTCTAGCATCAAGAGTGTTGGTTAAGTCATGTAATAATACTGATTTTTTAAAATTTTAATTAGAGTGGTGGTTTAGGCCATATGAATATTGCGCTCCTATCAGATTTAACCAAACAAATTTCCCGGGACTATGGTGTTCTGCTTGAAGGACCTGGCCTTGCATTAAGGTAACCATTTGTTACTTGTTAACCTTAACTTGCCTGTATAACTTAATGCCACACTAATTCTTACAGGTATAAAAGTTGATACAGCATTTAAAAATCTATTATTATTATTATTGCTAATAATAACAATAGCTAGCTTTCATATAACGCTGTAAGATTCACAAAGCACTTTACAAATCTTAGCTCATTGTATCCTCACAATAACGCAGCAAGATCAATGCTAATCTTTCAAAAATCATTTTATTCATCAAGTGTCAAATGCTGGTGAGACTAAAGATTAGTTAGCTTACTTAGTGGGAAAAGATAAGAACTAGTAGCTATACTAGGGGGCAGAAAGTGATAAATGCTATAAATGAGTACTATGAAGGTTCAGAGGAGGTCTCCCTGTCTAACCAGATGTGATTTGTATCAAGAAAGAATTTGTGAAGGAGGTAGCCTTTGAGGTGTGTCTTAAACCCATGGAGTTATTGTGGGGATCATGTAAAATAATGTTTGTGAAAGTACTTGAAAAATTGTAAATTCTAGATAAGTGTAAGGTGGTGGTATTGATACAGCTCATAATAATAGCCCATTTTTATATATTGCTTTGTAGTTTACAATAAAAATAACAGCTGATATTTATAAAGTGTTTCAAGGTTTATAAAGTACAAGCACTTTCTCATTTAGTCCTCACAACAACCCTGGAAGGGAGGTACTATTACTTTCCCCATTCTAACTGTTGAGGAAACTGAGGCTGAGAGAGTTTAAGTGATTCACCCAGGTTACTCAGCTAGTACATGTCTGAGGAAGAATTGGAGCTCAGGTTTTCCTGACTCCAAGTCAAGCATTCTATTCACAGGCAGCACTGCCTCTAATGAGGAAAATGCTTTCTTCATAGCAATCTTGTGAGGTAGGCAGTTCATTTTCCTTTTGCAGATAAGGAAACTGAGGTTCCAACAGAAGAGAATGTTCTTGAGGGCAGAGACTGTTATTAATTTTGTTTGTTTTCACCTTCACTGTGCACTGGTAGACACTTAATAAATTTAGATTGAATTGAATGCATGTTAAAAGACATGTCCAAGGTCATAGAACTAATAATTGTTAGAGCTGAGACTCCAATCCAAGTGTTTGGATAACTCCACTGCTCTTTCCACTATACCATGCCTCCTTTCTATTCTGTGAATTCTCTTAGTTCTCCTCTCTCCATTCCCCTGACTGACCTATTCATTAAATAAAGGTATTCCCCCAAGGTTATTCTTTGGTCTTCTCCCCTTTTTGTCATATTCTTTCCTTTTGTAATTTCATCCACTTCCCTGGTTTCTACTGTTGTCTCTATAATTGAATCCCAACCTCTTCTGTAGCCATCCATTCTAATTTCCTGCTAAAAGCATATCCTGTATATATATTAGCCACAAAACAAATACTTATTAATTGACTGAGAATTGCAGGCATCAAAAGGACAGGGAAATTCATTTCTGAGAGACCAATTCTTTTCTGCCCAAATGCTAATAGGTAATTCTTTCAATGCAGAGGTCTCTTCTTAATTGACCCTAATGGAGTTATCAAACACATGAGTGTCAATGATCTCCCAGTGGGTCGAAGTGTGGAAGAAACTCTTCGTTTGGTGAAGGCATTCCAGTTTGTGGAAGTGCATGGAGAGGTTTGTCCAGCAAATTGGACACCAGATTCGCCTACGGTATGTCTAGTTTTAAAATTCATTTTGGCATTCAGAAATACACAAAGAATGGAATTCATTGATCTCTTTGCTGCCAGGAGCCCTGGCTGGAAAATCTGTAAGGGCAAGAAAAGTGAGGCTACATATCAAATAACTAGGAATGGAAATTAAGATTCTATATAAAGTGACTGAATTTTGATCATAGATAATGTTGTGGAAACCAGGAAGCAGGCAGGATTCCCTACTGTGGTCTTGGAAAATATTGCTGTAACTTTCTTTATGTTAAGCTATTATTTTCTCTTTTATTTCTTTTTAAGTTTTTTTTTTGATCTTTCAAGTAATTAAAAAAATTAATCTGCCCTTTCCACTTATCTCCCCACCCCCAACTCCCATTAAGCATATTTTCAAAAATCCCTCAATACATATCTACATAGTCTGGCAAAACAAATTCCCATGTTAGCCATGGTGCAAAAATGTATGTCCCTCTCTGCATTTTAAGTTCTCATTTCTCAGGAGGTGAATAGTGTTTCATCTTCATTCTTTTGGACTCATGGTTTATCATTGCATTAGTCAAAGTAAGTCTTTGAAAGACTTTTTTCCCCCAATAATATTATATCATTGTATAAATTGTTCTCCAGGTTCTTCTTACTTCACTCTGCATTAGTTCATAAAAGTCTTTCCAGGTTCCTATAAAATTGTTCATGTCATCATTTCTTAAGGCACAATAATATCACAATTTCTTTAGCCATTCCCACCAGAAGACCGGTCCTCAGTTTCCAATTTTTAACTCTCATTAAAAGAGTTACTATAAATACTTGTTTGTTGTTGCTTTACAGATAGTGTCTTTTCCTCTTTCTTTTTTTTGAGAGGAGGGGCTAATAATGGTATAGCCAGGTCACAGTTTAATAAGTTTTTAAGCATGATTCCAAAATGCTTTCCAAAATGGTTGGACCACTTCATGGCCCCACCAACAGTACCCCTTTGTACCTTTTCCCCCAAAGCCCCTCCAGCATTTGTCAGTTTCCTTTTTTGTGGATTTGGTAGGTATGAGGTAGTACTTAAAAGTTTTGTTTTTCTTGCTCTTTGAATCACTTTTTAAAGGTTTGAAGTTAGAAATTGAATCTTTGAGAAGAATGTAAGGTTGTCAATAAGTCCTAATCATACAACATAAATTTGTGTGTTTTCAGATCAAGCCGTCTCCAAATGCTTCCAAAGAGTACTTTGAGAAAGTGAATAAATAAAGGATACCATGAATTGAAGACCTTCGTGGCTTTTTAAATTATGAAGAAACCATAAATTGGAATCTACAATAACATGCAAAAAATTACTGCGTATAGAATTGTAGAATATGCACAAGTTATGCTTATATCTGTGAATGCCCCAAAATGCTCAGTTTTCATAAAACTATTTAACCTTAATAGTTGTTGCTAGTTTAAAGGATCCTATAGTTACCAAATACTTGTTTTTCCCATAGTTCTCCTTTACAAATTACAGTTACCATATATTTGATGTCTTTATTGGAACCTAGAGGTTCCCTTCTTTAATTTATAGGCTAAAGAAATTATTCATTGCCTTTATGTGCCAAAAAACAGGTGTGGCAAACATTTAATCAGGTTGCTTTGAGGACCTTGAGTTATAGGTAAACAGGCTGCTTTCCCTTAACCAAGTATCCCTTTGCAGATTTTTTTAAAAATTATTAAACTATAGTCTTTTTTCTCCATAAAGTGAATGTCTTCATTCACTTCAGAGGTCTAATTTGACTCATGGCACATTTGAGTATAAGACAAGTATGAAGTATATTTGCTTAAAAAAAATCCAGCACTTAAAAGTGATAAAGTAGTTAATCATGGTGGGCAAATCAGAGATTTTTAATTCAGGGGTTCATTTTACTATTATTTGAAGTTTGAGTGAGCTTTATGTCTTGATACATTTCAAATACTATTTAATTTGATTGTAAAAGATATTTGGTCCCAGGGTTATATATAATGCAGCTTTGGAAATTATTATTGAACATTTATTTTTCTAGCTGAGGAATAACTCAGTGTACATTCTTTAATCAAGAATAAAGAAATTTTAAACTATCTTGACCTTGTAGCTCTTTACCTCCTGTGAGAGGAAAAGTGGAAGGTGGCAGTGCAGGGGGGCAGGGTTGGGGAAGGGAGCCAGGACCTAGGTGGATGAGGCCTTTGAACAGCCACCAAAGCCCGAAGAGGAGGAATTACTTCTAGGAAGGTGCTATCCACTCCCTTGAAATTTCCTACCTTGGCACTGGGGACAGGACGAAGTCCTGCATCCCTCTTGCTCCGACTCCGACATTCAAACTGAGGGTATGGAACCGAGCTGCCTTTTGGGAGACGAGGTTTTTAAGCAGAGGCTGGACAACCACTTTCGCATATGTTGGGGGGATGGAGTAGGTGAACTGAGGGGGCCTCCCAACCCAGTGACTTTGAGCAGCTTTGAGTAGCGTACAACCAGAGGTGGAAAAAATACGAGGTGTAGAATAGAAAAGCACGCGGATGTTATCAGTGTTTCCGGATTTGCCCTGAGGCATAAAGGTTGCAAGTCACTCCTCCCGGTTTCTCTGCCCAAACCGGAGCAGCAGCCGCGAAGCCGAATGGGGAATTGGAATGAAGCCCTGGGCAGCTATGTGAGCCACACCTCCTCCGCCAAGGGAAGGGAAGGGGCCGGGCTTCATGAGGACAGCCCTCCCTCCCCCATGCTCACCACCGCGCCTTCCGGCGCAAGCTGCCCAGCGATTTAGCTAGCTAGCAATCTGAGGAAGCCATTCATGGAGCCGAACTTGCACTTCTGGATCCGAGAAAGCCAAGTACGGAGCAGATGCCGAGCCGGGACAGGGTGGGATTGTCGATGGGAAAGAGTGGTGCATGCAGAGGGGCCATCATTTCAGCCCCCGTGCAGTTTGCATGAGAGGACCCATTAGGGGCCAGTGTCAAGGGCACCACCGCAGCCTCCCTTGCTCGCCTTGAGTCAACACCAGCATAAGTCAGCAGTTTGTGGGGGATAGGGGAGGGAGTACCTCATCCCCTGAGTGTGCAAGACAGGCTAAGGCTTGGGCCAACCCATTTGGCTAAAGAACCAGTAAATGTTTTAGAAGCCTCCCTCCCAAGCGTGGTCCTGTGAAAAGAGTACTCGATTTGTAGCAATAGATCCTGGATTTGAACCCTGGCAATTGTCATATATCAGCCTTGTACAAATTAGAGCCTTCGCTCTGGACCTCAGTTTCCTCATCTGTAAAATGAGATTGGACTAGGTAGCTTTAAGACACAAATGTCCAGTTCAAAATCTGTCATCTGTGACAGATAGCGCCTCTTCTAGACTCAGCTGGGTACACCATCACCCTTCCCTAGTAAATCCTTCGTCTTAGGATGTTGGGGATTTCCCCTTTTTCCACTCCCTTAGAATTTACTCCCAGATGCTACCTTCTGCGAAGTAAGCATTAGTATTAGCTTAGAGATAAAGGAAATAGGAAAAAATTTCTTCTTTGCTTCCAGACTTCCAGTGGGATCCTTGAGGCTCTCTCTGACCTTGATCATGCCATCCATGCACAGTCCAGGCACTTCAGTGTAGACATTTGACAGTAGTCAAGAAATATCTTCATCTGCTCATTTCCTAATGCCATTAACGCCGTCTGGGCAGCTAGGTGATACAGTGGATACAGCTCTGGGGTTGGAGTCAGGACCACTCTGGGACAAGTCACTTAACCTATTTGGCTCAGTTTTTTCATCCGTAAAATAGGGGTAATAGTAGCAACTACCTCCCAGGGTTGTTGTAAAGATCAAATGAGCTAATGTTTGTAATGTGCTTGGCCCATAGTAGGCACTATGTAAATGTTGGCTATTATTATTACCATACTTTTCTGATCTGTTTTTTGTTTTGATTTGTCTGTTGTTTGTTGTTTTTTCTTTGTAGTCTTTTGTCCAAAGATTTCTTCACTGGCTTGACATACTAGACCCAACAAATGTACTGCTCTCTCATGTAAGTATTTTCTTAATTCAGAGCTATACTTTTATGGTAGGACTTATTAACAATTACCTTCAAGCCCAGCTGAAGCCACAGGATACATTTGTTTCTCATTTAAAAAAAATACTTGTATTGTATTTTTATCTATCTTAGCATTAGCTTGCCAGACTAAGAGGCTGTTTAGGTTATTGGACAAAAAACAGGAAATAACAACTATACAACTTTTTCTATTTTATCCATTGGGGAGGGGAAAGAAGGAAATTGAATGCATGTAGATACAATGTAATAAGAGTAGCTTTGAGACACCCAGACCATTAAAAGAGGCGAAATTCAAGAAAGGAGCTAGTGGTTAAACCCATAGCTTCAAAAGTCTAAATGCAGTTGCACAAAATTTGGGCAACAAGCAAGATGAGCTAGAGGTTCTAATGAAAATTGGCAAATTTGACTGCATGTATCACCAAGATTTGGTAGGGTGAAACTCATGATTGGAATGTCCATAAATGAGTATACCTTATTTAAAAAAAAAAACCCTACATCCAAAGCCTCCAAGAAAAATATGAATCAGTCCCAGGCCATGGAAGAGCTCAAAAAGGATTTTGAGAAGCAAGTAAGAGAAGTAGAGGAAAAACTAGGAAGAGAAATGAGAGTGATGCAAGAAAATCATGAAAAACAATTCAACAGCTTGCTAAATGAGACCCAAAAAATACTGAAGAAAATAAAAGAAAAAAGATAGGTAAAAAGGGGTGGCTGGATGTATTGATAAGGCATGTTAATTTCTTTTGTTTTTACATCTTTTTTATTTTCCAAATATATCCTCCCTCAATGCCCAGCAAGATATCTTTTATAACAAAGGGGGGGAAAAGGGGGGAAAAAAACACTTCAGCAAAACTAAAATAACACGTTAAATGAGTCTGAAAGAATGTGAAATGTGGCTTATCTGTAGACCTTCATCTCTAAAAAAGGAAGGGAAGTGAACTTTCTCTTCTGTAGAAACAATAACGGTCATAACTATATTCAGTGTTGAGTTTTTGTTCTTTCTATGTACATTGTTATAGTTGTATACATTGTTTTCCTGCTTCTGCATCATTCTGCATCACTTCATATAAGTGTTCCCATGCTTCTCTGAAATTTTCATATTCATTGTTCCATATGACAAATTAATATTCCAGTCTATTCATATTACACAATTTGTTTAGCCATTCCCCAGATCAATGGGTCTACTTTGTTCCCAGTTACGTACTGCCACAAAATGTACTGCTATTAATATTTTGGCGTACATGAGACCTTTTTTCCAGAAAGGGGTATGTGCATATCAGTGGCACCACTGAGTCCACAAGCATTTATTAATTGCCTAATATGTGCCAGCCACCATATTAGGTGTTGAGATACATTCCCCCCCCCAAAAAAAAGGTGAAAATAGTCCTTACCCTCAAGGAGCTTACAACCAGGCCCCCAGGGGGCAGGGGTGGGGGTTGGGGAAGAAACATGGAGAACTAAATGTACACAAATAGATTACAAAATATGTGCAAAATAAATTCAAATTAATTGTGGAGAAAACGTAACAACTGGGGGGAACAAGAAAGGCTTTGTGTAGGAGGCAGCATGAGCTAAGGCTTAAAGGGGAGGGGATCCTAAAAGATAGTTGTAAGAAGGGAGATCATTACAAGCATGGGAAAGGTCAGCCTGTGAAAGAGACGGAATGTTGTCCATGGGTAACAGCAAGTAGACCAGTTTGCGCAGAGCGTAGTATATATGAGGAGTTATGATGTAAAAGAGGTCTGGGCTTCAAATAGTCAATAGTTTTATTTTATCCCAGAGGCAATAGGAAGCCACTGAAACTTTGTGAGCAAAAGAGTGGCATGGTCAAAGCCATGCATTAGTAATATCAGTTCGGCAGCTATGCGACACCACTACTAAATTTATATCCCAAAGAGATCAAAGAAAGAGGAAAAGGACCTATTTGTACAAAAACAAATATTTATAGCAGCTATTTTTGTGGTGGCAAAGAGTTGGAAATTGAGGGGATACCCATCAACTGGGAAATAGCTGAACAAGTTGTGGTATATGATTGTGATGGGAAACTATTAGAGTGCTGTAAGAAAAAATGAGCAGGATGGCTCCAGAAAAACCTTGGAAGTCTTATATGAACTGATGCAAAGTGAAATGAGCAGAACCAGGAAAACATTGTATACAGTAACAGCAATATTGTAAAGATCATCAGCTGTGAAAGACTTAGGTCCTCAGAGCAAGACAATGAAAAATGGTGTCTACCGCCAGAGACAGCTCTAATGAACTCTGAGTGCAGATTGAGGCATACTTTTTTCAATTTATTTTTCTTGGGGGTTTTGTGAAGTGTTTTCTTTTGCAACATGGCTAATATGGACATATGCTTTGTATGACTTCACATATATTAATCTCCCATCTTCATGCATTTGCATTGATCTATTGTTTGCCTTCTCAAAGGGTAAGGGAGGGAGAGAATTTGAATTCATAATTTTTAGAAATGAATGTTAAAAATTTTTTTATACATAATTGGGAAATGTTTAACAAAATAAAATATATTACAAAAATATAACTGGGAAATATTTAATGAAAAAAATATATTTAAAAATTTTTGATGGCAGCTGTGTAGATGATGCGTTGGAGAGGAGAGGGATTAGAGTCTATTGCAGTAGTCCAGGTAAGAGTTGCTGAGGGCCTATACTCTGATCATGTGACTGGAGAGAAGGAACTGGATTCGAGTGATATAGTGGGAATAGAATCAATATATTGGGAAGAAGGAAGAATTGAAGAGAATTCTGAGGTTGAGAAGCTAGGTAATAACAAATGGGATTGTCCTCTACAGAAATAGGAAAGGGAGTGGGTCTGGGGGGAAAGATAATAAAGTTGTGTTTTGGATATATTAAATTTGAGCTGCCCTGGGACAACTAGGTGAACCCTAAGCAACCCTTCCAGTTTTGACTATCTGTGATCTTATGATGTTTGAAATATGTGGAATATAATGGACATAATTGTTTGATATTGTTATTTCTTAAATTAGGAAAAGATAAAAGCTGCAAGAGAACTGTTAAGGAGTGAACAGACACCTAAAGATCACATAGAGGACCAAAAGGTATATAGTAGCCTATGTGTCAAAAACCTGGAAATCACTGAGTCAAGGTAACCATGTGCATCTCTCTGAAGACCATATCTGGTTGAGGTTTGATCTATAGATAATGATGAAGGCATCATTTTTTTAATGACTTATTTATTAAAATATCTCAGTTTTAGAGGCAGCTAGGTAATGCAGTAGATAGAGCATTAGCCCTGGAGTCAGGAGGACCTGAGTTCAAATCCGGCCTCAGACACACAACACTAACTGTGTGACCCTGGGCAAGTCACTTAACCCCAATTGCCTCACCAAAAAAGAAAAAAAATCTCAGTTTTAAAACTAAATAAAACTTCTCTCTTACTATAAGTGGTTAGCGCTCATCTATGGACATGTGAAACAGGTCTTGCAATTGCCATTACTCTTTTTTGTGGTGACCACCGATAAATAGAGTGTTTCTTTTAAGTCAGAGGTTGATTGAGAGTATCGGCAGTCCTGGCCACTTCACAGCAGTGCAGGGATCTAAGACAACTTCAAAAGACACACGATGGAAATTGCTATCCACATCCAGAGAAAGAACTATGGAGTCTGAATGCAGATGGAAGCATACTATTTGCTTACCTTTTCCTTTGTTGTTTTGTTTTACTGCTTCATTCTTGTGGTTCCTCCCATTAGTTCTAATGGTTCTTTACATCATGAATAATGGAAAAATATGCTTAATATGAATGTATAAGTAGAGCCTATATCAGATTGTGTACCATCTTGGGGAGGTGGTAGGAGAGTGAGAAGGAGAAGATTTAAAACTCAAAATCTTATGGAAGTGAATGTTGAAAACTAAAAATGAATTAATTAATTTTTAAAAAGAAAGAATATAGGCAGTCCTTAAAGTTTGAAAAGATTTTCATTCCTGAAAAATGTCCTGTAAACCAAAAGTCAAATCTGATTTCTTCAATGATACAGTGTTATAATAAACTATACTCCTACCTAAAAACCTGACATTTGCCTTTTTATAGAAATAAGTGCAGACACCATTTAAAATTTAATCCAACAAAATTTATTAGGTACATATAATTTGCAAGACATTTATCATTTTTTTTAAATCAGCTATAAATACTGTTCCTGTCTGCTATACAAGAGAGCCAAAACTAGAATTACATGACCAAAAGCTTTGGTCCTGAGCATGAAAGTAAAGATGGTGTTAACAATACTTACACTCTTTTAGCACTGGTGAAACAACTGAGCTTGAAAACCAGTTGCCAAAAATAATAAACTATAATAATGAGCTAATAGATAGAAATACTCCCATCTCCATCCCTCCCCCAACTAATAAACTCCACCTTCCCTCAGTAGAAGGGATAGACTTCTATCCCCTTCTCCCAGATCAGTGTTCCAGGGTTTATTTCCCTTCCCCCCCCAAAAAAAAGAAACCCCTGCATCCAGTTAAATTTATCATCAAATGTTGGTTTGAGGCTATATTTTGTGAAGCTTGTCCTCTGTGTTACAGTTGGTAGTTATAGCTAACTATCCTGCATAATATTAAACTTTAGTCTAAAATTTCTATAAATCAGTAAAAAAAAAATATATGTGGTAATCACATTTCAGTTTTGTGTATTTGAGAGATATCTCCCCACCCTCATCTATCCACCAGGAGAAGGGGTCTGGAGAAACCCAGAAGAGGGATTATATGGGGTAGGGAACAACCATCAGAGGCCTGGAATCTATGAGGATAGTGTTTTTTTTTTTAGGATCATATCAAGAAATGGACTGACAAAATGTGCTGCCTGATGTGAATACCATGAGTAAGGTCATGGGCATCATTGGCAGAGCACTGTAAGAGTACATTTGTCCTGTATGTCAGGATTCTGCTGAATTGAAGGTACCAGAATCCTAACCCATGAAAAACATTTTCTCTCTGTCAAAATGATAAGGTCATAGGTAAAACTCTTTTTACCTGATCCATAGTAACTCTTTTCAGAGCTATAAAACGATGGAGCAACTGGAGCTTTGTCCAAAGCATTAACATGGTGGGTGGGGGTCACCACTGCTCCACATTATAATCCTTGCTTGGACCCTACCCCCCTTGTCTCATTACTTTGACACTCCTCTTGTAGGGCTTCCTACCTTCCCCATGTGCCACACCACCCCACTTCTTGGGCTAGAGCAAATTCATTCAGGGTGTATTGGGGGGTGAGCAGTGAACAGCTTAGTTCAGTAATATCTATCTTTCCATCTGTCTATCTATCTACCTCTCTGTCTATCTGCATATGTATCCTTCATGTTTAAGAGGTCACTCTCAACCAGCAAGCATTTATGAAGCACCTACTAGGTATAGGGGATATAAAGACAGAAAATGAAAGTCATTACCCTCAAGGAGCTTATATTCTCTCCAGAGAGAAAATGTACATATAGACATATATTAAAAATAAATACAAGGTAGTTAGGGAGGAAGCCACCAGCATTTGGGGAAGAGGGAATGAGAAAAGGCTTCATGTATAAGGTGATGCTTGAGTTGCATCTTAAAGGAGGTGAGAGATTCAGTGAGGTGGAGGTGAGGAGGGAGTGTATTCCAGGCATGGGAAATGGCCAATGCCAATGCATGCAGGTGGGAGATTAAGTGCCATGTATAAGGAATAGAGAGAAAGTCAGTGCATGAAGAGGAATGATATATAATGAGGCTGGAAATATAGGCCAAATATAGGCCAAAGGGCTTTAAAAATCAAGAAGAGGAATTTATATTTCGTCCTAGAGGCAATAGAGAGCCAATGGAGTTTACTGAGTTGGGTGATGACATGGTCAGGCCTATATTTGAAGAAAGCCATGTTGGCAGCAGTGGGGAGAATGGATTGAAGAAATTTGAGGCAGGGAGATCTAGAAAGAGGCCACTGGGTTCCCATAGTGGGTGATACTGCCCCCAGGGAAGGGTGCTGGAACAATCCAAGGGGGGTTGGTAGTAGCCAAAGGTGTGATTTGGGGGCATTGAATAAAAATAAGGGGCAGTGGAAACATAAGGAAAGAACAGAAGAAAATTTTGAAAAACCATTCTTACATGTTTCATCTGTTGTGTAACAGAGTTAAAGTCGTAGTGATTACATTATTTTCCAAATAAACCCACAAAATGCAATTTACAACCTATCAGTGGTCAAGTCTGCTGATAAGTCTTAACAAGCAAGTGTTGGCAGGCAGGCATGTTGGGAAGTTGAGCATGCATCAGCAGAAATATTTGCATGTAATGACTTTTACAATATGATATTGTATGGTTCCATGATGCAATATTGCATCATCAAAATTTCAATGCAGGAAAAAACCTACACTATTTTATATACCTATATAACTTATTGGGAATAATCTGCACTCATCTTAGGCCTTTGTCTAAAACATTTTATTAATAAGAGTCTCATCTCATCCATCTCAGAGTTGCCTTCTCAAAAGCAATTTATAATAAATTATTAAATTTAAAAGGCATCATTTTAAAAAATTTATATTTTTTTGAAATGATGTAAAAAAACTGTTAAAGGGTTAAAGAAAGTAGATTTCAGGGGGGTGCTAAGAAATTTTTTTTTAAAGGGGACAGTAGGCCAAATCAGTTTGGGAATCTCTCGTCCAAGTGCAAAGTAATGAGGGCTGTAGTGAACTATTGTGGTAACTGTGTGAGTTGATAAAAAGAGATGAATGTGAGAGGTGTGGTCTATAGGCTTCCCATCAGCTTAAAATCTTTTATATAGCCTGGTTAATGCCAAAAGTATTTCTTCTGTTTGTCGGAGGAATTCAAAGCAAAATGTTTGAGTACCTGACATTATACTCTGTTAAAGAAGGATTCCCTGCTAGTAATTAACTTTACAATTCCCCCATGACCAACCAAATCTGGACTGGGCTTAAGAATTATTAACTGTAGCTCTTCCTTTTCTCTTTGGAAAGAATGGTTTATTACATTCTGATCCTGTTGCTTTGCTCAAATTATGCTTTTGCCTTTGATTTTGACTCCTTTGAATGCAACAGGAAAAAAAAAGACTCCTTTCTTGTCTCTGAGGAGGGCAAAAGGCAGCCAGTTATTCAGACTGTAACGAAAATGCCAAGAGAGAAGACTGCAAAGGGACTGTAAACCCGTCCTTAAAAAGATAAAACTAATTTTTTTTTTCTCATTGGGTTAGATACAAAAAGCCTGGAAACAGAGCCTGGTAAGTTTAAGAAAAACTTTATTGACATAATCTTTGTAATTGTTATAACTTCTTTCAGAGAAAAAACATTTAATTGTTTGTTCTCTTAAAGGCAACAGTGCATCCTGAGACTGGGAGTGTAATTCCTATGTTGTTTAGGCCTGCAGGTGAGTTGGTTAGAGTTCCTCAGCAGATGTTCAAAAGTCTTGTTGCAAGCACTGAATCCTAGGTAAAATTAAAAATAAAAAACTTGGCCCACCTAATTTTCATTTCCTTCTTATGAAGGATTTATAAGGAAGGGGCTAGTAACTATGCGAATAGTTAGAGGACCTGGGGATATTTGGCATACAGAAAATAGCACGTGTGCATCTGTATGTGTGTATGTGTGCGTGTGTCTGTATGTGTACTCAAATGTTCAGTGAGAATCTGCATTTGGTTTTGATACGTTAACACAATTAAAATTTAATAATAAATGATATAATAATGACATATAGATATATTATGTAATGTATTAATATAATTTCCTGTATTAACAACAACAAATACTAATTCTGATTGAATATTTTTATATACCTATATAACTTATTGGGAATAATCTGCACTCATCTTAGGCCTTTGTCTAAAACGTTTTATTAATAAGAGTCTCATCTCATCCATCTCAGAGTTGCCTTCTCAAAAGCAACAATTTAACATTGCTGTGAACTTTCCTCTTAAGACTTAAGGACCATACCAAAAAACAAACAAAAAAAAGACTTAAGGACGATAGGACTTAAGACTTAAGGACCATAATTTAAATAAAACCTTTAGATGGAGACTTAGGTAGCTTAAGACAAATTCTGACTCTTTTACAAAAATATAAAATTAAAACTTTTACTGAGTTTGGTTGTTCCAGAGTATTTATAATCAAGGAGTTGTCTTTCTTTGCATTTTTTTCCTCTGTTACTGGATGGTAAAAGGTTTATTATTCCTCCACACCAGAGTTTCTCTAAGAATATCCTAAAAAGGAATATTTTTCAATAAAATTCTTTGTTAAATTATATTTTCATTAACAGTATTAATAGTAAGTGCTTCATTAGCTTGTTTGTTGTGATTAGCTTACTTGTTCTTCTAAACAATAATAGTAATAGGGATGATAATTATATGAGCATACATTCTAATACTTCTATCTAGTTAAAAAAAAACCCACGGTTTTTTTATCCACATGTGTAATAGTCCAGAGGATATTATAAATGTTTAAAAGTAGTAATCACTTTGGGCAGCTAGGTGGCGCAGTGGATTGAGCATTAAAATGGGCCCTGGATTCAGGAGGACCTGAGTTCAAATCCAGCCTCAGACACAAAACACTCACTAGCTATGTGACCCTGGGCAAGTCACTTAACCCCATTTTCCTGGCCAAAAAAAAAAGTAGTATATCACTTTGTTTCTCCTAGTATCGATTCTTTCTCAACTATAATGAAAAAGATGAGAATGAGATGAATAACCAAGGACAATAACAGACTGAGGGGTGGGGAGCCTGCGGCCTCGAGGACACATGTGGCCTCGAGGCCGCAAGTTCCCCACCCTTGATTAGATAAATAAACTCACATACTACAAACACGGACCTAAAAATATCTTGGAAAACTCAACCAATAACCTGTAGTGGGCATAGACCTGTATCACAAACTGAACAGTTGCTCACAATTGCCCAGACATCACATTGACCAAGAAAAACTTAGGAACATTGTTTTTAGTGAATATCAGCATACCAAAATTCCAAGCTACATGGGACAAAAAGTTTTCAAACCATAGAGACCTGGCATAAGAAATTAAAATCTAGAACAAAGGAAGTGCATTTCATCCCTATTATCCTGCCTGCTACTCAAATTGTACCAAAGACACTTTTAGTGAGCCTAATAAGCCAAAAGAGTCACTTATCTTATCCACCTATACAATAGTCCATAGAATATTAAATAGTAAAGAATAATAGCAGTACAGTAACCTGTCCCAAGACTGCTTCTGCTTGAACCCCAACAAAAACAATGAGAAGAATGAGATAAAAATAGCTTATTTCTAGAAAGCGCTTTAAGGTTTGCAAAGTAATTTCCTCACACCAAGCATTATAGGGTCAGTTCAGAATGATAACCATGAGGCACTGCCCAATCCTGAATCATCAAAATGATTCCATTGTTTTCATTATACTGGACTTAGGAAAATGAAAGTGGACTCCTACTGGTCCAAAGGCAGCAGGGTACCTTCCCCGTATATAGCGCTTTAATGCTTACAAAGTACTTTATGTCTACTGTCACATAATATTCTTTGAAATAGACTGAGTAGCTCTTATCATCCTCATTTTATAGATGAGAAATCAGACGTAAAGATGTGAAATGATATGTTGTACCAATCAAACTACCAAAAAATTATTTTGTAGAGCTAAAAAAAAACAAAAACAAAATTCATATGAAGGAGCAAAGGGTAAAGGATTTCAAGGACATAATAAAAAGCAAGAAAAAAGAAGAGGGAGCCTGCTTAGCATTACCAGATCTATAACTAAAAAACAGTAATTGTCTAAACTATTTGGTACTCATTAAAAAATTTACCTGATGTGTTGATACAAATGAACACAGTAGTATAGTGTTTAATAAACCCAAAGACTCCAATTTCTGGGGTAAGGACTCAATATTTGACAAAAATTGCTGGAAAACCGGACAGTAAGATGTGAGAAATTAGATTAGACCAATATCTCATATCACATATCACAATAAATTCCAAATAGATACATGACCTATATAATCATAAAAATTAGAGGAACAGGGGAAGGAGATAACATTCTTCAACTATGAAGGGGGAGGTGTTCTTGGCCAAACAGGAGACAGAGAATGATATGAGATAATATGGACAATTTTGATTGTATAGAATTAATAAGCTTCTTTGAAAATTCAATTTAGTCAAAATCAGAAGGGAAACAGTTAACTGGGGGGGGGAAAAAACCTTTGCAGCAAATTTCTTTGATATTCTTCAGGTTTGCTATCCAAGATGTAGAGGAAATTGGTTCAAATATAAAAGAACAAGAGCTAGTCACCCAGCAAATAGTCAAAGGATATGAAAAGAAAGTTCTCAAGGGAAGAAATTATAGCCATATAAAAAAATGCCTCTGATCACTAATAATTTGTAAATGCAAATTAAAATAACTCTGAGGTTCCAACAGTGCTGTATGCAGGTGAAAATTGGTCCAGTCACTTCTCAAAAACAATTGGGAACTATAACCCAAAAGTCACTAATCTCACTATATCTTTGACCTAGCAGTACCACTACTAGGAATATCCCCCAAAGAGATCAAAAAAAGAGGAAAAGAGCCCATATGTGCAAAAATACTTATGGCAGTACTTTGTGTTGTAGCAAAAATTTGGAAACTAAGAGATGCTCATCAATTAGGAATGGCTGAACAAATTATATTATATGAGTGCAATATCGTTGTAACTTAAAAAACGATGAAAGTGATGAATTAAGAGAAACCAGGAAAGACTAGTATGAACTGAGGAAGAGTGAAGTGAGCAGATGCAAGAGAACTAGTTACACGACTACGATATTATTTAAAAAAAAAACAATTTTAAGACTTTAGAACTCTGATCAATGCAATAACTAGTCACAGCTCCAGAGGATTAGTAATGAAGTATACTACCCACTTCCTGACAGAGATGATGAACTAGAAGTATGAAATGAGACAGATAGCTTTGGACATGGCGATTATGTGGCTTTGCTTTTGTTGATTATGCTTTTTTTTTTTTTTAGAAATTATGATTGGTTTTGTTTCATTTAATTTTGGAGGTTGAAGGGAGCTAGTGATTGATAATGATGCCCCACTAGAAGGAAAGGAAGAAAAGGGTCCCTGAAAGCATTTTTTAAAGTGTACAGCAGAAAACAGAAGGAGATACAGACAAGTAGGACAGCTTTAAAACATGTTGATTTTATTATGTGCTTTAAAAAAAGAAAAAAAAAGGAAGTTGTATATAATAGAGGTTCATAGTTTCATATATAAATTTTTTTTCTTTTCTTTGATATGGAAATGTTTGTCTTTGTTAAGTTCAGAATAATAAAAAGTAAAATTATTAATTTTTATTATATTGTTATTGTTCTTTAAATATATTCATTGGTTTACCCAAAGTCACATTGCTAATAAGTAGAAAGACCCCTTGACTCTGAACCCAGTGAGAAACTGGTGACCTAGCTTTTAATCTTGTCTTTGTCATTAACTTGCTGTGTGACATTGGGGATGTAATTTCACGTCAATTTCCTTATCTGTAAAATGACAGCATTGAATTAAATTATCCCCAATGATCATTCCAGCTCCAAAATTCTATTGAATGTTCAATGATTTTAGGGAAAAAAATTTGTAACCAAGGTAGAAATAAAAAAGTTTTTTTCAGGTTAATTATTCTTTCCCACACTTTTCCTTTATATGATCAATTAATTACAAAACATTTGACCTATACTAATGATACTTTTCTTCTTCATTAGCTTTCTTTCCTATTACTGGACCTTTGGTAAGTAGCCAAAAATAGACATTTTAAAGATATCACCATTGTGCATAATTTTAAATTATTTCCACATACTATTTATTTTCACATTGGAAAATAGAAACTTAAGATATTACTAGTTATCCTGGTCCATTCATTCTCGATAACAATTTGGAACTATGCCCAAAAGGCTATAAAACTTTGCATGCCCTTTGACCCAGCAATATCCCTATCATCTCTGTATCCCAAAGAGATCAAAGAAAAGGGAAAAGAACCTGTATGTACAAAATTATTTATAGCAGCTGTTTTTGTGGTGGCAAAAAAATTGGAAATTGAGGAGATGCCCATCAATTGGGGAATGGCTGAATAAGTTGTGGTATATGAATGTGAGGAAATTCTATTGTGCTAGAAGAAATGATGAGCAGGATGATTTCATCTTGGGAAGTCTTATCTGAACTGATGCAAAGTGAAATGGGCAGAATCAGGAGACCACTGTACACAGTAACAGCAAAACTACAAGGATGATCAATTGTGAAAGACTTAACTACTCTGATCAAGACAATGATCCAAAATAATTCCTAAAGACCCATGATGAAAAATGTTGTCCACTTCTAGAGAGAGAACTGATGAATTCTAGGTGAAGATTGGAGCATACTTTTTTCACTTTATTTTTCTTGCTTTTTTTTCAACAAGTCTAATATGGAAATATATTTTACATGACTTCACATGTATAATCAATATCTTACTGCTTGTCTTCTCAAGGGATAGGAGAGGGGCAAGAGGGAGGGAATTTGGAATTTGAAATTTTTAAAAGTGAATGTTAAAAATGAATTTTAAAAATATGTAGAAAAAAATGAATAGTTATCTAAAGTTTGGTAATTTCTAAGAGGCAATTATGGTATAATGGAAAGAAGCTTAGCTTAGAACTGAGGAGGCCTGGGGTTTAGGCCCTGCCTCTGTTGTTCTCTGTTTGTTCTTGTATAAGTCACAGTCTCACTCTGGGACCATAGTTTCCTCATGTGTTAAAAAGACCTTTCCAACTCTAACTTTATATGATATATTGCTAGTTATCTTTTATGTTTATATAATAAACACTGTTTTTAGCACAGTGCCTGGCATATAGTAGGTGCATAATAAATGTTTATCGATTGTTGATTAACATTTCTTCAACTAGACTTAAATACCTTGAGTGCAAAAACAGTCCTGTTCATTTTCTCCCCTACAGTGCCTAGTGCACTGTCTTGCTTATTGGAGACGCTTAATAAATATCCTTTGTTGGTTAGTCTTCCATTCCATCTTACTCACCTTGCCCTATCATCCTAGTGATCTTCTGGATCTACTCAGCCACATCAAATTATAGATTGATTATAGAACTTAGGGCTAAAAGTGGACTGTAAGCTCCTCAAGGGCAGGGACTATTTTTGGTTTTGCTTTTAAACCCCTAAGGCTAGTTCAGTTCCTGGAACATAGACACTATGCTTGTTGAATTGAATTGCTGAAGGAACCCAAGGTCATCTAGTCCATTCCCTCATTTTATAGGTAAGGAAACTAAGGTCAGAGAAGTTAAAGTCACACAGGGAGTAAAATCCTGTGCCCAAGTCTTCTGACTGCAAATCTTTGTTCTTTCCAGTACAGCACAATGTCAATGAACCCCTTACTGTCTGGTCCATGTACCAGCTGAGGTGAGCAGGGTTTGGTAAAAGGAACTCACTTTTCTATTTGTTTCCCTCATGCAAGGTATTCCTATTTCTGCAAAAATATAAAGGAATAAAGGCTGCTCTTTTCCCTCAGGTAACAGCTGTTTCTATTTTATGATCAGTAAATGATTTTATGCTTGAATTAAAAATATAATACCTCTACATTATTTCCTGCAGTTTTTCATCCATGCATATAATACTGAATTCAGCATAACAAATGGAAATTCAATTCATGTAAGTAAGCAATTAACCTCTTATTTTTGCATCATCCCTTAGGGAACTTAGTATAATCCACAAATAATGAATAAGTTATTCACTAAACTGTAATTTGATTTTTTTTCCCTTTAGGCTAAATACTCTCTTGAACAACAACTTCTTGGGATGACTACAATTATTTCTACAACATTTTTTGGAGTAGGTATTTTTTAAGACCCATTGAATTACATTCTGATTTCTCAAACCAGATGTTTATGTAAAACTGACATAATTCTTCATATTTATCATGATGTTTATCTCCAGACAGCTTAAATAATATTCTTACATTATGCCAGAGTTGCAAGAGGTAATAAGGTCCAAGAGACCTGACTCATACATCTATTAGCTATGTGTTTTTGGGCAAGTCATTTAATCTCTCCATTGCCAAAATGCATCAGAAGAAGAAGGTTTCACATGGAAAATTCCCTACGCGAATGAAATCACAGGTCTGGACTGAAAAAGAAAAAGTCATGGTTAGGGAAAATGTCACCTTTGGGATTGATTTGGTAGCTTCCTTTGTACTTGGGGGACATTGTTATCAGTTGGGAAATTGGGTTCATTTAATTCATTTGAAAACTCTAAGTTAATAATAAAAATATAAAATATTTAGTCATAATTGAACTTTTTACACAAATGTTTAGTCCTTATTTTCTATGCACACATAAAATCATAATTGCAACTTTTCTCTTTACTATATGAGAGCATTCTGAACATCCCTACGTAGGTAAGATTAACTTATTTTTTCCTCTGTGATTTCATTAACACAGGGAACTGGATCTAGCGGCAAACTCCCTCTATTAATGTAGTTCAGTAACTTATGCAATTTATGATCTCAGGAATGTTATAAGAGAGAGACAAGAGAGCATAGGGGACAGAGAATTGACCTCAGAGGCAGGAAGAACTGATCCTGCTTCTGACTCATGCTGACTGTGTGACCCTGGGAAAGGAATTTAAAATTAAATTGTACAATAAAATGTAAATTCCAAATCTGCATTGAGACTAGAAAAACAAACCCAATGTCATTGTCATCATTTCTCAGAACTCTTGAAGTCATAAATCACAGTCAATATTAATAATTCAAATTTATCTAGTACTTTACTGTTTTCTCCATTGTCTTGTTTGAAATCTTGATCTTTACATATAAGTCAATAGTGCAATTATAGGATGATCACATTATAATTCTAATGATTCCACCAGTATACTAACCAACTGGCTTCACATGTGGCTTCCATGTTGAAATAGACTAGCTAAGTTTTTATAATTGGTAGCCCCTTGCTAAGTGTGCAGTTCATTTTCAGTGCCAATTGAATATAACCTCTAATAGTGACCCTGACCCCTCTACCAAGATGAGCTTGCCTTCCTCAAATCTCATACAGCACTTTGTGTTTTGCTTCTCCATTTATCAGGCTCTGTTTTGTATTGTAGTTATTTGTGTATGTGCTAAATCCCTTCCCCAACCCCATTCACACTAGACCTGTAAGGCCCCTGAGAGCAAGGACTGTATATTATTCAGCTTCGTAACTCTTCTCATGCCTAGCACAACGTTCTATACAGAGTAGGTACATTATAAATGTACGTCAAATTATAATGAATTGATATTTCTTCTCTGGTTTCCTAGATATCCCCTCTTTTGATGATGAATCGATACACATTAAAAGGACCTGCTGTTCAGAATGTTGTTACCAAAATCTTGCCTATCCCTCTTCTGGGTAAGTAGATGAGAACTGGAAACATATAGCAGTTGGCTGGTTTTTACCTACCTTGGGTCATCATGAAAAGAGAAACATCTTCCTCCCTATTCCTTTGCACAGATACTTCGCTCCATTCCTAACTATAGTGTGCCTAATCTTGAAGGACCTCAGAACAAAGCTACCTTTTATAGCCTGCCTGCTCAGGTCCCAGATTGTATTCATTTCCTACTTTCAGATTATAAATGTTTTATGGGCTATTTCTCTTTCACCACTTTGCACAACATCATAGTAGAAAGAAAATATCTTGCTTCTCTAACCTGACTCCCACTTTTTGATAATGTAAATTTTAAATGCAGTGACCAAACAAATCTCAGCCCTGCTACTTATCACCTATCTGGTTTGGGACGTATCATCTAAACCTTAGGTTTCACATTTATAAAATGAAACTGTTGGACTGATTGATGCCTCTTAGGTCCCTCCCAGCTCTCTGTCTATGGTCCTATAATCTTGGTTTCAGAGAATAGGTAAAACACACTTCCTTCCTAGGGGTACTAGAGCAGAAAGTCACATGGACTGTCAGTTATAGCGATTGTATTGGTTAGTTTTGCTAAGTAGGATTTCTTTGTTAAAAAGGAAGGCTCTTTGGGTGCGCAGCAATATTTTGGGAAGTAATTATGGTGTAAAAAACAAAAATGCCTCAACAATTTTTAAATTCTTTTTTGTTGATAAATTGTATTATTTATTTTAAACTTAAATAACAAAACAAGAAAAGAAAAAAAACATTGTCATGCACACAGCACAAAGGAATCAATATAAAACAATAAATTTGATTTCAAGAAAATCTATATAATAAATACTACACATTGTTCTCAAAGCTGCTCAGCTTTTCTTGCTTCTGTGTAGGTTTTCTTTTGTTTTTTTGCTATGCACTTTTTACTTAATTTTTCCCCCTCCCTCCTCCCTACCCCCCATCTCCACATTCAAAAGAAGGCAACAATTAAGTGTGGATATATATACATAGATATCCATCAACATACAAATATATACACTCATACATATATATGTAAGACCTTACTATGCTTATTTCTACTTGTCATCTGTTTCTCTGAAGGTGGATAGCACCTTCCTTTAGAAGTCCAAGTTTTCCCATTTTTTTCTAAATCAAGCAACTCATCATTCCTACACTACAGCAATATTCCAACCCAACCACATCCTATCTGAGAGATTGTCTATGAAAGTTTTTCCCCTATTTTCTATATTCCTTCTATACTTGGCTGCATAGGTTTTATTTATATAAGAAAATTTTAATTTAAAATAATCAAAATTATACATTTTATACTTCAACAATTCTCTCACCTGATAATATAGTTTAAGGTCTGATACTGTTAAACCTACCTCCCTTGCATCTTTTTTTCCCTGTTTTCTTTGAAGTCCCTGACCTTTTGTTCTTCCATATGAACTTTGCTATTATTTATTATAACTCAGTAAAATAATTTTTCAATAATTTAATTGAGATGGCATTGAATAAATAGATTAGTTAGATAAAATTGTCATTTTATTGGCTTTACTTACCCATGAACAACAAATATTACTTCAATTATTTAGATCTGATTTTATTTGTATAAAAAGTATTTCATATTTATGTTCACATAGTTCCTGTGTCTGTTTTGCAGGTACTCTCAAGTATTTTATATTGTCTAGCTATTTTAAATGGTCTAAAACAATATTAAATAATATTGCTGACACATAGTGTAGTTTCCCTGTTTTTCTCTTTTGATTAAAACTATTGTAGCTTTAACTTTGTCTGAGATCATGATTACTACCCTTGCACTTTTTACATAATAAATTCTACTTCTGACCTTTATTTTATCTTTGTGTGTATCACTCATTTTTATAGCATTTCCTGAAAGCAACATACTGTTGAATTCAAATTTTTAATCGACTATCAGTTTCCATTTTATAGGTAAATTCATCCCATTCACATTCTAAGCTATAATTACTTGTTGTTTATTTTCTTCCTTCCTATTTTTCCTTACTATCCTTCTCACCTTATTCCTATACTTTATTTCTATCTGCTACTTTGCCCTTCTATTCTTACCCACCCATCCAAGAGTCCCTCCCTTATCTTCTCCCCCTACCCTATCCCCTTGCCCTCTTATTTCTTTCTGTATTTAGAAGATTGTTACACCTTTCTAGATATATATGTTGTTCCCTCTTTAACCCATTCCCGATGAGAGTAAGGTTCCATCAAGCCATCTCTCTCCACTAGCTTCTGTATCAGTTTTTCCTTTTATGCCTCATTTGTATGAGATAATTACTCCTTTTTATCTCTCCCTACAGTTTTTGTTTTTTTTAGTCACTTCATCATACACAACTCAGCCCAAGCCTTTTTCTCAAACTACCAAAATAATGATGACAATCATAAGAGTACTGATAATATTTTTACATATAAGAAGTAAACAATTTGATCTCATTGAGTCTCTTATAATTGGTCTTTAATGTTTACCTTATGTTTTTCCTGGATGTTATATGTTGAATTTTCCCTTAAGTTCTGCTGTTTTTGTCACAAATGCCTGACAGTCTTTCAGTTCATTAAATGTCCTTTTTTTTTTCCCAGTTAGGATTAGAGTTAACTTTGCTGGATAAGCTACCCTTGGTTGTAACCCTAGCCATTTTGCTCTACAAAATATAGTATTCTAAGACCTACAGTCCTTCAACATAGTAGCTGCTAAGTCTTGTGTAATTCTTATTGTGGCTCCGTGATATTTAAATTGTTTTTTTTTTTCCTGGTTGCTTCCAATATTTTCTCCTTAACTTGGGAGCTTTGAAACTTTGATATTCCTGTAAGTTTTCCTCCCGGGATCTCTTTCAAGTAGTGGCGGGGATTTTTTCTATTTCTGCTTTGCCTTCTTGTTCTAGAACTTTAGGACAATTTTCCTTGATAATTTCTTGTAACATCGTAACAAGATTCTTTTTCTAATCATAATTTTCAGGTAGTCCAGCTATTCTTATATTATTTCTCCTCGATCTGTTCTCCAGAACAGTTCTTTTTCTGTTGAGATGTTTCCCATTCTCTTCTTTTTTTATTCTTTTGATTTTTATTATTTCTTGATGTCTTAGAATGTCTTTAGCTTCCTTTTGCCCAATTCTGGTTTTCAAGGAATTATTTTCTTCCTTAAGTTTTTGGTTCTATGTTTCAAGTAATTCTTTTCATAATTTTCTTGGATTGCTCAATTTTTTTTTCTAATTTTTCCTTGATCTCTTTTATTTGATTTTTAAAGTTTCTTTTAAGTTCCTCCAAGAACTCTTTTTGTGCTTGGGACCATTTGACATTTAAAGGAGTGACTTTTTTTCTGTATTTTGCCAGGCAATGGGGTTAAGTGACTTGCCCAGGGTCACACAGGTAGTAAGTGTTATGTGTCTGAGGCCGTATTTGAACTCAGGCTTTCCTGACTCCAGCAGGGCTGGTGCTCTATCCACTGCACCACCAACTACTTAACTCTAACTTTTTATTTCCACTGCTCTATGTTCCCTCTGAGGCAAGGTTCTGTCTCTTTTTGTCTAGGACATTTGGAGAGCTGAAAGTTTTCTGATCTATTCCTCTATCTTCCCAGAATCCTCTCTAAATTCATATTTTTAAAAGAAATCCCATGGATTTTCCATGGGAGGGGGAGGATATGGATAATATTCAGTAAGTGTTGTCAGTCCTTCAGAGGTTTTTCTTTCTCTTTAGCAATGAAGTATATCTAAGGTTGATAAAAAGATAAATGATCAAATATTTCAGTTGACTAAAAACACAAGCCACATAAGAAAACTAAGTAGTTATTTCATTGAATTCTTAGGTTGGCCAGAGTGCAGATTCAGTTATTCCTGCTGCAAATCTCTGTTTGGAATATTTTGACATGTTCTAAGTGTGACAAAATTATGTCCGAGGTAAATTTAGCTGACTAGAAAGCAATCTCCATGTTTTGCTTTGCTTTTGAATACTACAGCCTTTTTAAGTGCATTTAATGTGGTGGTGAGCAGAAGCCATGAGTACCAGAATGGAATTCGTGTCATGGACAAGAATGGGAATGTTGTAGGACTGTCACAAGAAGCTGGGGCAAAGGTAGGTGGACAATTGTAGAGCTCTCCTATCCACTCACACTTCAGGCAAAGGACTGAATATTCTGTTTTGAGAAGAGAGGAAGTCGTATCCCTCTTATCCACTTCCCAGCTTCCTCCAGTACATTACTTTGCATTCTGTGTTCTGATATTTGGTTGATGTGAATTATAATATCTCTGTAAGTGCAAGGAAATTTTGTTTTTCAAATACAGTTGGCATTGTGCCAGGCTGTGGTAGATCAGGCAGTGCTAGTTTATACGGCCAACACAATAGGTGGGGAACAGTAGCTTTTCGCTACCTATTCTCTTTTTTTGGGGGGGGTGAGGTGATCAGGGTTAAGTGACTTGCCCAGGGTCACACAGCTAGTAAGTGTTAAGTGTCTGAGGCTAGATTTGAACTCAAGTCCTCCTGATTCTAAGGCCAGAGCTCTGTTCACTGCACCACCTAGCTGCCCCCCTATTCTCTTTTGTACTTCAAATTGGGAAGATTTTACTCTATCCCAATAGAAGCTTTTTGGACCTTAAATGATCCCAACCTTCCCTTCTAAGTAAATCTTTTAGAAAGAAGTTCCCAAGACAAGTGACCCTGAGGGTTTTCTTACTGCTTCTTAGGTAGGAATTTGTGGTCGTGTGTGTGTGCATGTGTACACACATGAGTGTGTGTGTGTGTGTGTGTGTGTGTGTGTGTGTTGAAAAGGTTTTGTTGAAAAGAGAAGGCTGTGAGCTTTAACCACTGTGGTTAAACTTTAATGTTTATGGTGTAGTTCCTTTGTTGCCTTTACTTCACAAAGGCATTTTGTTTTTCACATTTGAAGGCTATAATTAGTGGTGACCATTATAACCAAAAGTTTTTGGAGGAAGAAAAAACATAAAGGGTCTGATACTTAAAATTTGTCACTTTATTTATTTTTTTGCTGAGGCAATGAGGGTTAAGTGACTTGCCCAGGGTCACACAGCTAGTAAGTGTCAAGTGTCTGAGGCCAAATTTGAACTCATGTCTTCCTAACTCCAAGGCCAGAGCTCTATCCATTGCACCACCTAGCTGCCCCCGAATTTGTCATTTTAGAATAGTGTTAAAATTTTATAGCATCCTGATTTGACTTTGCACTTTCTTTAGGCAGTTGGAGAAACAGCATTGTCTAGAGGTTTGCTCTTTGGGACTTCAATGCTTCTTTCAAATGTGTTTTCATACTTTTTGGAAAGGTAAGAGCTAACTCACTGCTGTCTAAGTAAGACTCATTTCAAAAAAGTAGTAATCTTAAATCTCAATTTTTATAGAAAAAGACAAATACTGCTTTAAAAAAGTTATTTCAATACCATCCTCCTCCCTCCCCCACCACCCCCAGTTCTTCAGTATAGCAAAACCAGTTAAAATTGGGATGAGTAAGTTTGAGGTTGGGGAGGTAGTGGGTATATAGAACCATGGATTTCAAGACAGAACACCTGGGTTTGGATCCTGGCTCTATCACTTTACTATCTCTGTCACATTTAGATGTCTTAGCAAGTCACTTCTTTTCTCTGACCTCACATCCCTCATTGTAAAATGATAAGATTAGATTATATCAATGTTCTACAGAGTTTTTCAATTATACATCCCTACCAGTAAAAAATTTTTGAGTATGTATTCTAATATATGTATTGTATTTTAAATTATTATTATAGTAAAGTATTATAATTATTAAATTATAAAATAATAAATAAAATAAAAATAATATTAAAGTATATATAGTAATTAAAGTATTATAAAATACATGTGTATTATAAAACTTACACAAAATATAAATTTAATAAGGATAAGATAAAGATGGTATCACATTTGATCTAGAGTCAGTAGGAGAACACTAGAGTTTATTGAGTAGGGAGACAACATGGTGAGACCTGCATTTTAGGAAAATAATTTTAACAGCTGTGTGAAGGATAATTTGGAAAAAGGAGAGACTTGAAGCAAGGAGGCCAATTAGGAAGCTTTTGGAATAGTCTAGTTGAGAAATGAAAAGACCCTGATTTAGGATGATGGTTAAGTGAATAGAGAGATGTTATGGACGTAGAAACAACAACATCTAGCAGCTGGTTAGCTATGTGGAATGAGGGAGAGTGAGGAACTGAGGATGACGTGAAGATTGTAAACCTGGTGCCTGGAAGGATGGCGGTGCCTTCAGCAGCAACAAAGAAGTTTGGAAGAGAGATGGGTTTAGGAGGAAGATAACAAAATGAATTGTTATGAAAACCACAACCCATCCAGGACAGATTATCCTGTATGATTTACTTTGTCCCACTTAAAATGAAAAGAGTTACTCATTTGTCACTCTTTGAGAGGCACTTGCTGCAGCCATGAGGAGATCTGGTGAGGGGAGGGAATGTGTATGCTAGGGGAGCTGGGGTGTATGTGTGTGTGTTTGTGCATATGTGAGATTTTCCCAGTGGCACCTGTACCACCTGCTGCTGTGGATGTCTATGTAGTGGTTAGCTTACAACTGCCCTGAGGGGCTGATGTCTGATTCGAGAGCGGGTATTTTGGGTGCTTGCACAATAAAGAGTGGAGCAGAATGGGAGAAGAGTTAGGGAATACAGGTAGATGTGGTTTTGTTAGAAACAAAACAACCAATAAACAAGCATTTATTAAATGCCTACTATGTATCAGGTACCATGTTAGGAACTGGGGATAAAAATATAAAGAATAAATAATCCCCAGCCATAGGAAGCTTGCATTTTAATTAAGAAGACAATATACATATACACACATATGCATGTACGTATCTATACATATGTGTATACATATTATATATATTATATATGTATGTAATGTGTCTATTTACATAAATAGAATAAATATAATGAAGTTCAGTGCAAGGTAGTTTGGGAAGGATGCACTAGCAATTGGAGGCAGGATCACGAGTCATGCCACATACCCACACCATCTCCCAGTCCTCACTTTGGAGACAATATGATCTCCAAAGGCTTTTCTAGAGCTAAATCCTATTAAGACCACTGTTCAGCATGGTCCTGTATTTTTTGTCTTGACCCAAGGTCTTCATTTATTGAACCAGTATGAGTGATAATAGAAGACAGCAGACTCAATGGGCTTACCTCCCTTATCAAAAACAAGTGTGAGAAAAAGGCCTTCTTGACGTTTGACTACTAAAGTTTGTCCCTAAAAGAATGTAGCTAGAAACCTGAGTTACATCCGTGCCTTCCTTGGCTACTCTGCCTTTATAATGAGCCAACACCCTTTTAAAACATCCAACCTGCTGGTTCTCATTATTTGGAGCTCCGCCCAGTGCATCCTTCCTCCTCACCTTCAGGGTGGGCCTTCTGGTTTCTATATAGTTGAGAAAGGTGTTCCCCATCATCTGCTAGATGAGCAAGGAGAAGGCAGCAGGTCAGAACATAGGGTTACCTGACATAACTCTAGGACCACAGTGTACATTATTTGGTGGGGCTTGGTGGGGCTATGGGAACAGACTCAAATAAAATAGCAATGAAGGTGATAAAACTAGTGACTCTGATATCATTATGTCAGACTGTAAAGTGCCTGCTTCAGAAGCTAATATAATTTTGTAGCAAGGTTTAGCAGGTGTAACTTTCTTTCCTTAGGACCAACATTGTTCATCAAAATCCGAAGTTTCTGATGGTCATGAAGTTAAATGTGACTCTTCTGGTAATGGGATTGATGGTACCAGTTTCATTTTGTCTATTTCCACAGACAGGACAGGTAAGTCCCTTTTGAATATTTAATGGGAATTACTTAAATTCGACCTTTTTTGAGTCCTGCCTCAGGAGAGTAGAGATTATCTTATTTCATTATTGTCTCCCCATCAATTAACTTGGGACCTTCTACACATCAGGAGCTTAATAAATATTTGCTAATTTGAATTGGAGGAATCAGAAACTTTAAAATGAATAAATGTGTGGCATGTTAAAATTCCTTTGACTTTCCTAGGTATCTCTCCCTCCATTTCCATCTTCTGTACCTGCAAGTCATTGCTTCATGTTGTTTGTTTCAGTCCTGTCCAACTCTTCATGACTCCATTTGGAGTTTTCTTGACAAGTGGTTTACTATTTCCTTTTCTAGCTCATTTTACAAATGAGGAAACTGAGGCAAACAGAGCCCAGGGTCACACAGCTAGTAAGTATCTGAGGCCAGATTTGAATTCAGGAAGATAAGTTTTCCTGATCTAGGCCCTACGCTCTATCCACTCTGCCATCTAGCTGCCCCTGGACATTATTACATTTTTTAATTGCCTAAGACCATAATAGAGGCTTGATACAGCAATTCTTCCATAGTGCAGCCCCCTGAAAACTATGTTATGGTGATCTTGAATTTTATGTCATTTATTTCTACCATCAAAGTTAAGTTGGGGATGGGGTATAAGAGGAAAGCCAAAATTTATTAGTACCCTTGGGAGGAAGCATACGTTTGTAACACTACTGTGCTCTTTTTAGGGGATAGGCATAAAATATAGCATTACTGGGAGATCATGTGGCATAGTGAAGAGTGCTGAACTTGGAACCAGAAGAGACTTTGGTTTGATGCCTATCTATGACACATACTATGTGTTTAACTATAAGCAAGTCATAGTAACTTCTCTCAGACTGTTGCATTTTTTTTTCCTTTGAATCCCCAGCAGTTATCAGTTCCTGGCACATAGTAGGTACATAATAAATGCTTATTGATTAAGCCTCAGTTTCCTCATCTGTAAAATCAGGGTAAAGATACCTGCTTACCTCACATGACTCTTGATGATCAAATGAGATGACATATGTAAAGTGTTTTGAAAACTTTAAAGTACATTTAGTACTTTTACTAAAGTATATTTAAAGTAAAGTACATTTAAAGTATATAAAGTACATTTATAGATAGTAAATTTGATATATAATGCATCAGTATAGATACATATGTGTATATCTAGTGTGTGTATATGCATATATGTATACATACGTGTGTACATTTATATATGCACATGCATGCATGACTATTAGGGAGAAGTAGAGATGGAAAAAAAAGAGAGAGGCAGCTGTATTGTAGTGGATAGAGAGCTGGCCCAGAACCAGGAAGACCTGGGTTCAAGTCTTACCTCCAACATAAACTAGACATGGGACTTAAGCAAGTCAATCCCCTCTTGTTGCATAAGGATGCCTATGGACTGCATATTGATTTAGAAAACCACATGTGTTTACAATTTTTTTTTAATATGTCAGCACATGAAAATCAGATAGGCACCACATTTTAATCTGGCTTGGTTGCCACATGCAGCCCAGGGGCCATGGGTGTGATCCCTTTGCTCTAGGTTATTCTCTGACATTAAGTTGCCCAGAAGAAGCCAGCCTTCATTGTTAGAGGGAGTCTCCTTACCTGGAAAGTTCCCTATACCAATGAAATGCAGTTCCTATCTCTTATCCCTGTAAATGTCAGTGATTATCTGGCAAAGGAAGGTGGATCCAGTACTTTTTGCCATAAAAATAGCTCAGATTTACATACTTATACTATACTTTAAGCTCTAATAGCTTTGAACTGCACTAAGACTTTTTGGGACACCCCGTATTAACTCATTTGATCCTCACAACAATCCTGTGAATTAGATACAATAATTATCCCCATTTTACAGATGAGGAACCCCTATTGCCTCACCGAAAACAAAACAAAACAAAAAAAAAACTAGAGACCTTCTTTCTATCATGGATCCCTTTGGTGAAACCTGTGGATCCCTTCTCAGAATAATGTGTTTAAATACGTAAAATGAAATACATATGATTAGAAAGGAAACCAATTATATTGAAATACAGTTATCAAAATAATTTTTAAAAATCAAATTCACAGACCCAAATTGCAAACCCCAAATGGGTGAGCTTCCCCAAACATTTTGGTGTTCGTCTATTGTTAAGACTGTTGCATGTTCTGTAGAAATATTTAGTAAATTGTACAGAACCTGCAAAGTATTTTTCTTTAGTTGTTCTGCCTTAGCTAAATCCTCAACTAGTACTTACTATAATTTTTTTTTGCTCTAGCACAATTTCTAGTTATAACTATTCCCTATATAGGGAAGCTGGAATCAGATCACCATGTCAATGACAGGAAGATGAGCTGGGACTCTGTGCAGGTGTCAGAGAGGTTGATGACTTTGTTCCTCTCCCTCCATTTTTATCCTCTGTGACTACATGTCACTCACTGCTTCTTCTTTTTTTTCTTAATTTATTTTGGTTTTCAACATTCACTTCTACAAGATTTTGAGTTCGAAATTTTCTCTCCATCTTGTCCCTCCCCTTTCCCCAAGAGAGTGTGCATTCTGAATACCCCTTCCCCTAATCTGGCCTCCCTTCTGTCCCCCCCCATCCCCTTCCCCTTCAATTTTCTTTATAGGGCAGAATAGATTTCTATATCCCATTGCCTGTATATCTTATTTCCCAGTTGCACGTGAAAACAATTTTTTAACATTTGTTTTTAAACTTTGGATTCCGGGGGAGCTAGGTGGCACAGTGGATACTTGGTATTTGGTACAGACCACATACTTGACACTTACTAGCTATGTGACCCTGGGCAAGTCACTTAACCCCAACTACCAAAAAAAACCCAAAACTTTAGGTTCCAAATTTTCTCCCTTCCTCCCTCCCCACTCACCCTCATTGAGAAGGCAAGCAACTCGATATAGGTTATACATGTGTAGTCATGCAAAACACTTCCATAGTAGTCATGTGAAAAACTAAGTGTATTTCCCTTAATCCTATCCTGCCCCCCCATTTATTCTATTGTCTTTTGACCCTGTCCCTCCTTAGAAGTCACTCACTGCTTCTTGAGCAGTTCTCCCGTAATTCAGCCTCTGACAGACATACCACTGATTTTATAGACCCCCAAAACGTTTTCAGCCTAGAACATGGATTGGCAACCCCTGGAATGGATGTGGTGGTTGAGTTTCATGGCAACTGTGCATTGAGAGAGGAACATAAAGGTGGTTGTGATGGGATTGGGAGGAACCTAAGCCCATCAATGTCATCTTTGTCCCAAGACATTGCCCCAAACCATGGGCACCCAGACTTACTCTGCTTTACTGTGGGACCATGCAGGAACTCTAGGATGTGGCCAGCCAGGCCTTTGCCAGTGACCTAAAGTGCTTCACATTTGAGGGCAGCCTGACTTTTCCAAGATCCTGGATGGCTACAGCAGGGGAGGCTACATGCAGGTTGCCATCCTACTGGTGAACTCTTGTTTGGAACATGAAATATAAATGTATATGTAATATACATACTATTTATATATAAATATGTAAAATATATTTATGTTAACAAGAAAAAACCCAAAAAATTTTAACAAGTTTTTGAAGTAATGAACCCTAGATAGAGCATATAGGTATAGATATTTTTAAAAAAAAACCTTATTCTTTATAGTGATACTTTATTTCAGATTTAGTCTTTCACAATGATGAACACTCTTTCTCAAAGACACTGTGACATTTTAAAACATACTAGTTGATAGTATGGAATACTATCAAATAGACATGAAAAAGTTAAAAATTTAATATAGCTTTAAGATGAACTTTTTTTCAGGTGCATCTCAATTAGTATGTTTTAAAACACTGTCATGGTGTCTTTGTGAGACTTGCAAAAGACTAAGCTTGAAATAAAGTATTTCTATAAAAAACAAGGTTGTTTTGCTTTGTTTTGTTTACCTAGATGTCTAGGGCAACAAAGAAACTATGTCATAAATCTTACCAATTTGTCTTTGTTTTTCAGATACAGCGAACCTCTCTAGAACCAGAAATCCAGTCCTTGACAGAGGAAACAGATCTCTTTTATAATAGAGGACTTTAAAGACCAGTTTGAAATTTCAGCATGGCTTGTCTTCTCACAGAACTTAGTCACAGAGGCTTAGAATTAGAAGGAAGCTAGAGCAGTACCTGAGTACCCAAAAATCCCTCCCCTAAAATATTATTTTCTCAAGATTCCAGGCTTATATGTCTATGCCTTTTCTCTCTTTGTGAAATTGATGACAGTGAAGCTTTAGGGTCTTTGTATGTCACAGATAGCAATCTTTTTTGAGGTATAGAACAGCCTCAAGGGTTGCTGAAGTCACTTTCATTCACTGTCTGGAGACCTAGCTGATCAAGATACTTTACACCAAAAGGCAGCTTGAAGGAAAGAACAACGTTGTTCTGCCTTAGCTGGATCCTCAGCCAGCACTTAATATTATTTTTTGTCTCTAGCAGTTTCCATTTACTGGGAGGCTGGAATCAGAATCAGATCACTGTGTCAAACAAATTTAGTATATTTTTGTCATTGGGCGGGAGATATATGTGTGTTTATATGTGTGTATGTATATTAAAAAAAAAAAAAACCAGGATTGGGGAGAGGAGAGAATTTGTTCAATTTTACACATTCAATACCCAAGAGGTTGCACCTGTCCTGTGATGGAATTCTTTTATAGATACTCCTCTGAAATTACTATTTATTAAAATTTTTATAAAATCTATTGTTCAGTGTTTGCAAAGTAGATTAGTAATGCTCACCATCCCTGACATACAGTTAATGGCATTAATTTCCTTATTTTAAATTATGATTTTGTTCGACTTGAGATTAGATGTGATAATATGCTTAAACACCAAACACTCACCAAGCTGATAACCAAACAGGCAAGTTTTCTTCTCTCTGGGAAAGAAAGGTACTCAACTCATGCTATAGAACAAGTTGTCTTTTGTGAAATCATGTAAGAGAGACC